ATACTTGGCCAAAGGTTTACACACTTATTCTGAAACCATAAATTTTTCCTTTTTCTAGAAAACTCAAGGGTGTCATAATTGCTTGATCCATTTTGTTCCTCATAAGAAACTAGTGAAAGTAGGCATGGTTTGACGCACACCATCTCCCTATGGATGATGACAATATTGACAATACTAGGCATTGTAATCAATATGGTTAACCATTGTGCACAAATATTGATAGAGGCATCATTGTGTAGATTTCATATTCTCTACACTTACTCGGGTGAACTTTCACCATCCATGATCATGCAACGTATAAACCATGCTCATATGACATATTCTCATGTATTTTCATGCTCAATATAACCATAACATATCATCATACTTGAGATTTCACAATGACAACATAATCACTTCCAAAGTAAATTTATAGATCGAACACCCATTTCACATAACTTTAAAAATATACTCATTTAAAATTTACTTAATAACATATAATAACCATTTCACAAACTCCTAACTACAAACATCAAACATATACAAGAGTTTACTTCTAGCTACCTCAACTTTTAGTTTTACTAGACTAGAAGTACTTATATCAAACCAATTGAGTCTTCATTAAGTTCTTAAGCACAATATAGTGTCAATCTACAAGCAAACGCATCACCATTAATGACTTATTATCATTAATTACTACTAATTGAGGTCTTAACCCCATAATCATATTGAGGTCACTAATCATAACTATACCTACTTCCAGCTTCCATTAGCTTAACTAGACTCTCAATTGTGTAATAAATTCCATTAAACACCCATATTGTCATCATTAACTTAATTAATTATCTCTAAGGTTTTCTTTAAGCCCATAATTAAAAACTTAATTTACTATTACTAGCCTAACACAAAGGTTAGACACTTAAATAAACCCCTATTAACACAAGAGGAGTTAGAACTAGGTGGGAACATCACCCATTTTTGAGCAACACCCAACCATGCCCAATAATAGTGGAGAAAAATTCATAGAGATAGAAGGAAGCCTCTTAATCAACAAGTGACTAGGGGAGAAGAGGTTTATCCATGAATTACATATGTTCAGAGAAAGGAAAAAATAATAAAATAATTAATTTAAATTTTATCACTAGTGTAGACCTACAAACACAATTATAGGAACAATGCGGCTCTAATGCCACTGAAGGAATATGATAAGCAAGATAATAATCCAAAATAGGAGTTGAGACCAAATTCGGGCATTACAAAGTTTGATTACCCATGCTAGATTAGACACTAGAACCCTTTGTAATATGCACAATAGATATACCGAAGAGATAGAGAGAGAGAGAGAGATGAAGAATGAACACTAAGGGAGAGATATTCATTTTGGGCTAAGTTCTGTTTTTAGCCACCCTCTACTATTTATAGCATGGAAAGAGCACTGTGGAAAAGGAAATTCAATTTTGATTGTCATAATTCACTTTATAATGGAGAGAATTAATGCGATAAAATATTCACATTAAAAGTGGGGGAAAGAGTTCTTGTTTTTGTTTTGATGAGGTAATTGAATATGCTTTATGATAAGGATATGAGAGAGTACACACACATATTAGTGGTCCAATCACCAGCAGAGCTTAATCTTTTTCTTGTAATTTAAAGTGGTCCCCTTGATTTTTTTGGGGAAATATAGTTAAATTACAGAAAGAGGTCTATTACGGAATATAATATGAAAATAAAAAGTTAGAAGACTAACAAATAAAAAATTTAGAATGAAGCCACAAGCAATGCGGAATAGCTAATAAAACTCTCCAGCTGAGCTTGTGTGCTTTTCGAAAAGTTGAATCGGCTGGTGAAAGGTAGTCAAGAGTTCTTTGATATCAAATTTAACTATGCAACTTGGATCTTTGAGAAGCCTGATTGAATCTGCACTATTACTGATGAGGTTGAGACTATCACTGCAATAAACTCTGTGTCGCTCAACCAATTTTAGCTAGAGAAGGGCAGATCGGAGACATTCAAAAGGTTTGCATGTAGACTTCTTTTTCCTTCCATTCTAGATTTACCAACAAGCTACTGTGATATAACGATTGGATTGATGGATTTGAATTTAGATTTTAGGTTTGAAATAATGCACTTTAAATCTCACATTTAAAATTCATATATTTAAAATTCTTTATTTAAGCAGTTTTAAATTTTTTAAATGAAGAAGAGAAATGAACTTATATTCAAAGTGGAAATAAAAAAAATTGAAAATGACAATTCTATTTATATTTTTTAATCAATAGATAAGAGAAACACACAAGTGTCATAGATGTATCGTATCGATAGTAAAAACTTGTAAAGGACAAGATGTTTGAAATAATAAGAATTTCAAATAGCTAGGGTATATAAAAAATTTAAAATTATAAAGGAGTTAAAATTTAAAATGTTGAAATCCAAATTCATAAATTCATGTATTCAAGTGAAAGATTTAATTCAAATTCAAATATAAGTTTAGATTCTCATTGATCCAAATGCACCATGAGTAGATCTGAATCTGACAATCACGTTTCTTTGTATAGTATTATTTTTATGAATGAAACCGGAAGTGGTCCCTTGAAGCTTGAATGATACAAAATTATGTGGGAAAAATGATAATAAAATTCCTTTAAATTATATAAATAACAATCTAGTCTTTCAAAATGTTATAATTATATTGAATTCCTTAAGGGCTTCTATGTTAATAAATTTTATAGTAAAAAGATTATTTTACCCTTATTGAAAATAATAAGTTAAAATCATAACTTTTGTTTAAGGAATAATAACTTTTATTCTATGAATAGCAAGAGTTGAATAAGAAATCACAATTTGTCAAGTATAATTTATGTTATTAAAAAACAAGCCCAATCACAACTTTTACTTAAGGAATAATAACTTGGAAATATTTCACTGAGGGACCCTTAACCAAAGTTAATGAAAAAGAAGGGCCCAGAATTTTAACGTTTCACTGCACGTCTGGGGTATGATCTAAAATTAATTTTGAAAGTAAAATGATAAATTTGCCCTTAAGACTATCGTGAAAAAAATTTGAAGCATGTAGATGAGAGCTTCGAAGCACATTCAAATACACACACGTTAACGAGGGTGCTTTGAAGCACATAGAGGAAAGGTAGCAGGTAGTTGACATAGTTTATCAGCAAAGTTCTGTCACTAAACTTGTTATCCAAGAATCTACGTTAGACTGACTAATAGGTTGCACAAGGTTATTTTGGTTGAGATTTTTATTCGTTGAGATTTGATGAGGAAGAGGGTTCCATTGAGCATTTCACGGAAGGCGAATCGTTGTGAACTACGAAAGTGATACAAGCATATCAATGCAAGTTAAATTGTGTTTTATTTAGATATTGGTTTCACAAAAATGTTTTGTTTCATATTGGAAAAAATAATTTCATCTGTAAATCAAGGAAGTTTAAAGTAAGCCTTGTTGTTCATTTCACAAATAGTAGTTGTTAAGTAGGTTGCTAAAGTTGTTCATTAGCCAAATAGCAATTTGTGGGTAAGCGTGGTTAGGGAGATGAACAAGCTAGGTTTAAGAAATGAATATGAACTGTAAGTAAATGAACAAGTTTTGTTGTGTTAATTAACAAGTGATTGAATGATAATGAAGAATTAGGGGGTGTAAATAATCCTATCCTAGTTGTTCATTGCCCTAACAATAGCAGTTAATTAGTTAGGTTGTTGATGATGTAATTTTGTGCAGATCAAAATAGTGCTATCTAGTGAAAACTTGATTTTAGTTGATCTTTTTTGTAGGGTAAAGAATAGTGAGAAATGTATTATAGGGTGGCACCTTTATATAAGGAAGTTTCATGAAAGTAGAAAAGAAAAGGGGATATTTTGATAAAATCATAAGGCAGTCCATGAATGGAAGAAGTTGACAAATAAGGAAAAGAAAGTATGGAGGAATAAGTATTTGGCATTCAAGCCTAAGAGGAAGAAGTATTTGGTACCATTTAATACTCAGTGTTCACTTATGAAGTTCATAGAGGTTGTTAAATATGTGAAAGCAGATGCTTTATTGAAAAAAAGGATTGATGACATTGGTTTTTGGGCACTTACTAGATATAACTTGCAAAAGAATACCACATAGCTTGTTTAAGAAGGTCATACTTGGTTTTGACCCCCCACCAGGAAGTTAACTCTAAGAGACACTTAGATGGAAGTCAAGCCTATAGATGTATGCAACTTATTGGGATTACCTTATGAAGGAGAGCAAGTGAAGGTTCCGCATAAGAGGGGACCAAAAGAGAGCAAGTCAAGGAAGAACATTCTTGGGAATTACAATATAATAAAGGAGAAGATAATGTCTGGTAGTGCAGGGGGGAATTTAAAGCTTTATTCATACTTTATACTCTTAGTACTCTGCTTTGTCCTATTGGCAGTCCATCAATAAGCAATAAGCTGGTGGAAGTGTTGGAGTTCATTGGAGAATGGTAGGACAAATTTGATTGGGCATCTCTTATGCTAGATGAGTTGAGTAAAGAGATAAAGAAGTACCAACATCTGTTACAGTCAGGTGATCTTAAGGGTACAAGGAACATTAGTGGTTGCATCTACTTGTTAGTGGTATGTATGAACACTTGTTTATTCCTTAATGTGTGTTTAGTTGTGAATCCCATGACTTCCATTTTTTATTTGGATTCTTGTTTGAATGTTTGTGTGTAGCTTTTTTCCTCTAAAAATTCCCTATAGTTGAAAGGGATCAATTTTCTAATGCAAAAGTAGTGAAAGAGTGGACAGAACAATGAGTTAATGATAGAGTCAATCTTGAAAAGAGAAGCTCACTTAGGATTTTACATGCCCAACCCACTTTTAAAGCAAGCACTTCAAGATGCCAGTCACATTTGGAATTCAATGCAGTACTTCCAGACCAGTTGAGATAATTTTATTCAACATTTAAAAAGTACATTAATGGTGAGGTTTGAAGATGAAGAAGTGGGTAACAAATGAATTAGTGATGATACAATCTATAAAAGGTATTGTGAATGATGACCGTGAATGATGACCAACTGGGAGAAGAAGAGGTAGAAGGGAAAGGTCTTGACATTCAAGACGTAGATAAGGTGGGAGAAGATAGTGTAAAAGAGAGCAACCAAGTAGGGGAAGATGATAGTGAAGAAATGACAAAAGAGAGTGAAGAAGATGATAAACGAGAGGTAGAGAAGAGTGAAGACAAGAAAGAGGAAAAGGAGATATTTTTTAGACAAGATGAGGAAGGAAAGAGTGAAGAAGAGAAGAAGGAAGAGGATAAAGATGATATAATAGAGGGAGAAGATAGTGAAGAGATGAATGGTAAAGAGAAGAAGGAAGAAAGGAAAGAGGATACAGAAGAGGTAGAAAACAATGAAGAGGTGAATGAGTATAGAGAAGAGGAGAAGAAAACATTGAAGATAGGAATGAAGACAGAGAAGATAAGGTAGTATATACTGTACATGGGAAGGGTTGAGGGAATGAAGAAAGATGGGAGAGAAAAGAAGAAAAAGTTAGAAGATGTAGTTGCTAGTGAACTACGGAGATCTAAAAGTGGCAATAAAGTTACTACATCAGGGAATTTCCATTTGTACAGGACATTATCACAATTAAGAATGTCAAGAAGAGGAAACCATTGGATGATAAACATGAAGTAGTATTCAAGCTTTGTACTACTACTTGCAGCCAGTATGAGTCGAAGAGGTGAGTCTTCATTAGAGTCAAGTGTCATTGTAATGATTCCACTTACTGCAAGTCTTTCTGAATTCTAAATTGATAAGTGTTTAGATGCAATAGGATCTTTGTGGATATGTACAACTACCACCTTACTCGGTCTAAGCTATGTTATCTTGATGGAAGGAGTTAGATAAATGACAGGGTGAGTGAAATTTATGATTGAACATGATTTGACTTGTTTAATACAATAATGCCATTATTTTGACTCCATTTTTATTATATATAGTTAGTGACAATAGTGGCTAGGACGTTGGTGGGTGACTAAAGAGAGAACGGTGGTTGAGTGTTGAGGAACATATTCAAAAGTGAATTCATGGTAAAGCACGTAGAACATCATGTAATCTATGCTTGCCTCACTATGTTGTTGAAATAGTAATTAAATCCTTGAAACAACTTGTATGCTTGTAGATGCAAATCATGATGCAAAAGCAAAAGTGGAATTAAGAGCAACATAAAGCACAAATTTTAGAGGACAATGTTGGGTACAACATTAGAGATTGCCAGTGGATCTTTAGCCCCACATGCTTTTAAAGCCACTGATTTTGTTATGCTTTGGACATAGAGACTATGAACTTTTAATCCTCGACTCATTAGTGGATAGAAGGCCAATACAATAGAGTAAAGGACAAAAAACTACACACAAGCATGCTCGTGGAAGGAAGAAAAAGGAAGATATGAAAATGAAGGAAAAAATGGCGTGTAGTTGTATGAGATTGCTTCCACTAATTGTTGCGTATAGTGAAACCATAACTATTTCACAATGAGGAAGAATTTGATAATGATGTTAGATGAGCACAAGTTAATCTCCAAATAGATACATGCGTTATAAACTTTTTGTGACTTTCTGTTACTGACTCTTTCTTTTGTTTTAAAAGTAATTTGACTATAACTATTTGCATATGCAAGACTTCTTACGGGTTTACATTATTGAGTAGTTGAAATCATAGGACAACTCTTCTTGCGATAACATGGGTATACAAGTCCATCATGCTTTGATGAGGACATCCACAGCATTAAACTTGAATGTTGTGTGGCTTGTTAGCCCACGAGAAGAACTCCAAATGTGAGGCCATATTGAAACTCCTTGCAAGGGGTAAGGTTAAGAAAAGGTAAAGTTGAAGAATCCTGAAGAATTAATTTTTTTATTATTCAATTATAATGCAAATGTATGGAAAAAAAGTGAAAAGTGATAAGATTTTGTAAGTTAATGTCATTATACACAATAATAAAATGAATAAGTAATGCCAGTTCAAATCTATCTTTGCTCTATACCCAAGCTTTGTGTACTTTTTAGTCTACTAGTGTTATGACAAACAAACAACGTAAGGATGCAAACTTGGTTTGTGATAAATGAACCCCCACAAAGTAAAGCAGAAACAAGTGAAGGGAAAATGACATAACATACTGATTTGTCTATGATATGTCTGTATCATACTGGTGTTTACATTACATACCGATTTGGATGACACATACCAGTATTAAAGAGCCTCATGTGGAGGTCGATTTAGCACCAGTGTGTGTTTCATATCATATATACGTGAAACACTAATAGGAAACACAAATACCAGTATTAAGGAGGCCTCCACATGAGCC